GTGGCAGCAGGTGACCCAAAGGCAGCACTCCCTCAGGGCCCTGCACCCTCATCCCCACATCCAGATGTTGGTTCTGCACAGGCAAGAGACAGAAGCATTTTGTGTGGGTTTGAAACATTGCAGAAATATGATGCTCTGCACCAGGGCCCCAGTGCTGCCTGGCCTCAGATCAGCAGTTGGTAGTGCGAGGGTGCCCAGGGGACATGGTAAGCTGTCCAGATGGTCAGGGCTGTGCCTAGGCAGCTGCTGGCTGAACCACCTGTCCCTGCTTGATCTTCTGTGGCTGTTACTACGCTGTGAACTGGCCACAGGCAGGCTGCCTGCCCTGCCCCTTTCCCAGTTGCCACAGTAACAGACTCCACTGCCCCCCCCCTCCCTGAACGCCAGCCTTTCTGCCACTGTCACAGTGCCGCACAGCCCCTGGCATCCATGCTTGGGGCGCACGGGGCTCCTGGACAATTGGGGCAAGGAATTAGCCGTGTCCCTGCCTTCCCCACAGGGGGCCTCTCCAGGGAGGTACCAGGAAGCCATTCCCCCATGCCACAGCTGTACCTCAAGTGTGCTCCTGTAGTGTGTGCCCAGGGCAGTGTGTGATGATCTGTATGTGCAGGCAGAGGGGTGCCCAAACCACTATGCTCTGCTCCTGCTCATCCTGCTGGGGCCCTGGGCACACCGGCACTCCTGGTTCAGGACCCTGAGCTATGATAGCACTGGGGGCAAGCCTGGGCTGCCACATAACCTTTGCCACTGGCTGGATGACTACTTGTGGCAGTGCTACACATCCTTGCCCCCACTACCAAGGAGGATATTGCTGCCAGCATCAATGCCTTCCTTGATATTTGAGAGGCCATTTCCACCCCAGCTTTAGGGACATGACCATCTCAATAAAATTTTCTACCGTTTCCTTCCCACCTCTCTGTGTGCAATGGAGGTGCAACCTGGGGCCAGGGGGAGTGTGGGCGGGCCACCCCTGTGCAACCCTTCCCCTGTAAGCAGACAGACATGGATGACAATTCATTTTAATTGCATCTCAGAATTTATTTTAACGTCAGTAAACCAAAGCAGAACAGAAAAAACCCAGGAATATGATGCCCACACCTCCAATTTTCCTATAAAATTATAATCAATTCACTAACAGCTAAAAATCCAGCACCTGTTATTGGCTCCCTTCCCCCCTGTGCACCCTCTGTCTAACCCTCCCCTCCATCCCTAAAGCATACATACTGGTGCTCTCCTTGTCTGGCTAGAGAAGGGGTGCTCCTTGCTTGCAGGCACAGTGCCTGTCAATGAGGTTGTTGCAATATGGGGCTGATTATGGATCGGGTTCTCTGTGGAGCTCCCGGGGGGGGCGGGCACTGCTCACGAATGGGGGTCAGGGTCAGTTGTTTAAGGAGCTCTTGTCTAAACTTTCCCTCCTGTTGCTGGGTCCATTGGGCATTGTGACAGAACTTATTGGGCAGGCTGAGGAATCTTATTGTGCTGGCCATGGCGTCCTGGTAAGCTGCTGCCTCTAGCTTGTCAATCTTTCAAAACATCTCGCACATTTTGTCACCCAACTCAGCTGCAGTGTGTACTTGCAATTGAGAGGTCAACACCAAAATCTCCATTATGCCTTCTCTTGATTGTCACTGCCTGCAGTAGTGCTTACGCATTTGCTCGGCTCTGGTCTGTGCTGGTGTCTGAGCTTCAGGTGTACATCCCCAAATTCCAGCAGATGCAGTAGCTGGTAACAGGAATTGGAACAAAAAAAAAATGTCTTGACGGTCAAAGATCTCATCCCAGACCCCCACTAGCAACTTTAAGAGGTGGCCCAGCATGTCCACCTCATGTATGTGACATATTGTACGACTGCAAGCAGTGGACATATATGCCACTTCCCATAGTAACCCCCTCTTTCACTAAGCCCTAGTTGCCCAAACCAATCTAATGCCTCTTCCCCATAACCTACAAGTCCCTGGGTGTGGATCCTAAGCCACCTCCAGCACTGACATCAATCTTTGTGTCTCAGAAATTTCTGGTGTGCAGGACAAATCCAGGGTCAGTATCATTGTGGAGTCCTGTGCGTCCTTCTCCTCTTCCTCTGAATTATTCAAGACAGATCCTAGAGAGAGTGGAGTCACGGTCAAGAAAACTTCTTCTTCTTGGTTCTCTGCTTCCTATAGATGCTGCAAACACTCACCCCCCCACCTCAGACTGGTTGTCTGAAGGATGAGCAGTGGCTATCGGACTGCCCGCTCCAGTGTCAGGACAGTCTGTGGGCTTTTGGTGGCTAGGTCATGCTGTGGCTACCTCCTGCATCCCTGTTGCGTAAAATGATAATTTGCAAGCCCTCCTGCATCCTTCAAGAGAATGGTAGACAGCTTATCATAGAATGCAGCTACTGTGTGTCTAGTCTCAGAATGAGAATTCTGGTCCTTGGCCTGATGGAAAGCACATTTCAAGGCCTTTGTCTTGCTGTGGCACTGGACCCAGGCATGATTGTGGCCATGTTCCTTCATTTGCTAAGCAATGGTTGGATAGACTGGCTTATTTCATCAATTTTCCAGCTGTGACAGAAACTTTTGTTCCCCCCCAAATATCAATCAAAGCCTTCAGTTCATCATTGCTCCAGTTGGAGGCCATGGCTTTGAGATGTATAGGGCTGCTCCTCCAAGACAGACAGACATTGCTCCTTCTTTTGTGCCAGCATCAAGTATATTTTTGGGGCCAAAATTAGGCACTGAGAGAGGGGTTGCTATGCTCTGACCAGAGTCAATAAATGCTTTCTGCCCATGGCTGAGAGCAGTTACATAGACATTTATTTGTATGGAGTCTTTTCATGCAGGTCTGACTTGAAAGATATGCATACCTATGCAGGTGTGAACTGTGCCTTAGTACTGATATTCACACCAATCTGCCCAAGTGACTTTTCCTAATAGAACACCATTGATATCCATAGCCTGCCCACAAGTGTTCCCCAGAGGCACCCATTGTCCAGAACAATAGGTTTTAATGGCTCGCTGCTGGGAACACCCAAAAATCACTGCCTGCAATGCAACTTGACTGAAAAGAATTACTACTGGCCATTCAAGCACCCTCCCCCTTCCACCGTGGTAGCAATTGCTCATGGATGCCTAGCAAAGTTCTCAATGTGCTAATGGGACATATTCAAAAAAGTGGGTGTGGGGACCTCACCCACATTTGCCAAATAACTCTTAATTCGGGATTCAGCCATTTCAGTGTTCTGCTCAGAACCCCCTTTTTTTCTGTTGAACATGTCTCATGTAAAAAGGGGGTGCTTGGAGACTTGGGAAAATTGGGTCTGTGATTTTACTTGCTGCTCCTAGCTCTGGATGTGCTAATGGGACTGTTAGGGTAATTGTATTTGGATCTTGGGGAACATTGGATTCATAGCTGAATAAAGGCTATAACCTGTGGCCTAGCAAAGCTACTAACCACAAGGTAGAATGGTGTGTTAAAAGTAACATTGCAAGATGCTGAGGCAAATATTTTCCTAACTATGTAGTAGAGTTGTAAGATATATAGCTCATTGTGTAAGGAAAACAGGATGCAGACCACCAACTATCATAAGAGATAAAGCAGAAGCGAGACCTTGGAGATGCTGAAGAAATCAGCAAGAAACTGCAAGTGACTGAAAGAAGGTCTTATTCGACCTGGAGGGATGTGGGCAGTGGGGTTCCACAGGGCTCCGTCCTTGGGCCCGCACTATTCAACATCTTCATTAGCAACATGGACGAGGGGGTAAAAATCACCCTGTTCAAATTCACAGATGACACTAAGACGTGGGGAGATGTGGGTATGCTAGAAGGGAGGAATAAGCTGCAATCGGACCTGGACAGGTTACAGGGGTGGGCAGATGAGAACAGGATGGGTTTCAACACTGATAAGTGCAAGGTACTGCACCTGAGGAGGAAGAACCAGCAGCATACCTACAGGTTGGGGAACTCCCTTCTCGTCAGTGCAGAGGCAGAAAAGGATCTTGGAGTCATCACTGATGCCAAAATGAACATGAGCCGACAGTGTGGTCAGGAAGGCCAACTGTACCTTGTCATGCATCCACAGATGCATCTCAAGCAGGTCCAAGGAGGTGATCCACCCCCTCTATGCGACACTGGTCAAGTCGCAGTTGGAGTACTGCGTCAAGTTCTGGGCGCTGCACTTCTGGAGGGATGTGAACATCAAGAGGGTCCAGAGGAGGGCCAAACGCATGACCAGGGATCAGCAGGGCAGGCCCTATGAGGAGAGGCTGAGGGACCTGAACCTGTTCAGCCTTCACAAGAGAAGGCTGAGTGGGATCTAGTGGCTGTTTACAAACTAGTCAGGGGGGACCAGCAGGCACTGGGGGAGTCCCTGTTCCCCCGAGCACTACAGGAGTGACTAGAAATAACTGTCACAAGCCAGCAGAGGGTAGATTCAGACTAGATATCAGGAGGCGCTACTTCAGGGTGGCTAGGATCTGGAACCAACTTCCAAGAGAACTGGTGCTGGCTCCTACCCTCGGGGTCTTTAAGAGGAGGTTAGATGTACACCTTGCTGGGGTCGTTTGACCCCAGTACTCTTTCCTGCCATGGCAGGGGGTCAGACTTGATGATTTGCTCAGGTCCCTTCCCACCCTACCAACTATGAAACTATGAAACTAAGCCAGGTTCATGGTTTTAGGCATGTGCTCATAGGGAAAAGACATGTAAATAAGTGAAATGCATAGGTAATTCCATGATAATTCAATAAAGAGTAAACAGAGGCGAAATTTAAGATAGGAGGGAATATGGGTGGAACAAAGGAGGGACAAAGTTGGAGTAAATGTTAATGAGCATAAACCAAGGTGTATAAATATGAAAAGAACTAATGTTCAGTGCAGCTCCCCGGTTTGTTGGAGCTGGCCTGAAGCTGTCTCCATTTTGAATAAAGCTGTTGATGAGCAATGTGCGCAGGTAATGCGTGATGGCATCAATCTGTTGTCTCCCTAGTTGTTGGGCATTGCGTGGAGTTGGGGTCTAACAGGGATCTATTGAAAAAAAATGGGTGCAGGGACCCCTCTCCCACATTTGCCAACCAATCCTTAATTTGGGGTTTGGCCATTTCAGTGTTCTGCTCAGCATTCCCTTTTTTGCAGTTGAACATATCTCATATGAAAAGTGGGTGCTTGGAGACTTGGGAAAATTGGAACTGTTTTTGTGGCCATTAGACACCTCATGTTTTCACAGGAGGGGCATTACAGGAACCTGATCTGTGTAGGTTAGGAATTAAAATGTAAAGAACATGACTGTTATAATGCTTATGACCCTATTAAAAAGCCCTACCTAGTCAACTCCCTTAGCACAAGAAAATGGTGCTCTGAGGAACAGTTGTTTTCTGCATAACAAGATGGCTTTGTTCACTTGTGATGTAATCATCCAGGAGAACCAGATGATCTTGGACCCCTGGAGATGTCCAACTGAAGAATGGAGGCACTTAATAATGAAGTCATGCAGCTACTGAATGCAATATATGCTGTGATGATCCTTGTACTGAGGCACCAGTGCGGGATAACAGCTTCACATGCCTTGTTATATTGGGAAATTTTTTAGCTGCTGCAGTTGGTGAGCTGACAGGTAGCTGTGGATCTTGACACTGACAGTGTTCTGCAGATCAACCTACAGAGCAACAATTGCATGGTCTGGGCACACACGAGCAGCTCTGACCAGTGGGAACACATCATACTCTCATCTTGGGATGATAAGCAGTGGCTGGAGACCTTCTGCATGAGCGGGGACAAAGTTTCCCACATCGTCTCGATGCTGTTGCCACACACTGAGTGCCAGGAGACTGTCAGGTGTCACCCATCGCACAAGAAAAGAGGGTGGCCATGGTCATCATGAAACTGGCCACCCCCACCAGACTCTGCTTCATCAGGAGCTAGTTCAGCATGGGTCCCTGCATGGCCAGGGTGGCAATACATAAGGCATGCCAGGTGCTGCAGGACATTGCACTGAACAACTTCATCTGCCTCCATAACCACAGGAAAGTACTTGAAGGCTTCAAGGCCATGGGGTTCCTAACTGCATGGGTGCATTTGACAGCACACACATCCCAGTCCTATCCCCATCCCAGGAGAGTTGGTCATTTATCAAGAGGAAGGGATTTGATTCAGTGATCCTCCAAGCCATAGTTGATCACCAAGGATGCTTCACTAACATTTATAGAGGCTGGGCAGGCAGTGTTCACGATGCATGTGTATTTCAAAATTTGCTGCTGCCTGGCATGATGGAGAAAGGACAATATGTACCTGGGGTCCCTGATGTAGTGATCCATGGTGTTTTGGTGCCCCCACTTATCATGGCGGATGTGGTTTACCTCCTTCTGCCCAAGCTTATGAAGCTATATGGAGGACAAGTTATTAACTGGCAACAATCCACATTCATCTACCACCTCAGCAAATGCCATATGACTGTTGAATGTGCCATTGGCCATCTGAAAGTACAGTGGAGGTCACTGAACTACAGGCTCGAGGTGGAGCCAGAAAACATCATTGCTTTCATTTTGGCAGCCTGCATGCTCCACAATATTTGTGAGACCGGGGGGAGATTTTTAGTGACTCATGGCCTGAGGAATTGTGGGAAGTGAGGGAGGCAGTGGCCAGGCACAGACATTGGCAGGCAGAGCACGGTGCCCCCCCTAGATCAGCAAGCAAACAGTGGTCAGGGAGCTATTGTGTGGAATTGCCTGGCTGCACACATTCTGGCTGCTGCAGATGAAAAGGGTGCGCTGTAGGCCACCGAGCGATCAGCACTGAACGCTAAAACATTCAGCAGTTAGCAGTTATTCATAAAATAAGACATTTCATTGCAGCACTTCTGTCTGTCTGAGTACATTGTCTCTAGTGGGATTGGGATGGGGGAGGAGCCAACAGATGGCTGAATTCTAAAGGTTTTCCTTTGCTTGGGGGAGGGGAGGAGCCACCATCAGGGCGCTCCTGAGGCTGTTCCCTCTGCTCACAGCCCTGCTCCTTTAGGCTCATGATTGGGTTTACAGAACTCGGCTTGTGGGGGGGCCAAAGCTTTTTTCATGGTTGTTGGCAGCCTGGTTGCAGGCATCTGTGGCAGGCAGCATGCACCTCCTCCCCTCTGGCTGGTCCAGGGCCAGGGCCAGGGGCTTGGAGTGAGCACGGGGCTCCCTGTGGGCAGCAGTGGCTTCCAGCGGTTTTTTGAAGTCTGAACCACCAGGACTGCAGCATGGCAGGGGAGCTGGGAGGCAGGCAGCTGCCACTCAAAAGCAGGGGAAGGGAGTAGGGGGGGGCTTCAGGGCTGGTGCCCGTGCTCATGGGGGCAAGGCAGCCAGGAGACACTGCCTGGGAGGTGGAAGGGGGCATGGCCAGGCTGCCTGGCATGGCACTGGAGGCCCAGCCCTTCGCCTCCCTCCAGCCCATGCCGGGCTTTAATTGCTCTGGTCCAGTCATGATGCAAGCAGCTGGGGGCCCTGTCCGGCAGGGCTGGGGGGGAGCAGGGGGCTGTGAGTTGGGAGTGAGGGACATGGGGGGACAGGAGGCTGTGGGCAATGGGAGGGGGGTGAGGACACCACAGGGGTGGGGGGCTATAGGTGAGGGGCACTGGCAGTGCCAGGGGACTGCGGGTCAGGAGTAAGGGGCAGTGGCAGGGCCAGGGACTTAGGGTCAGTAGCAGGGATGGGGGGCTGCAGGTAGGCACTGAGAGGTACCAGCATACCCTGGGAGTGAAGGGCAATGGTGGGGCCAGGGATCTGCGAGTTGGGAGTGAGGGGCAGCAGCAGGGACACCCCCGCACCCTCCCCCAACTCTTGCTCCCACTGGCCATCCCAAGTGCAGACTGGCACTGCTGTGTGACTGGCTGCCACACACAAGGGCTGCCTCGGCTTGAACCGCCCCCCTCCCCCCATGCCTCCCACCCTCCTGCCTTGCTCCTGACAGCCATCTGGACAAATGTCAGCACCCTGTTCAAGTGGAATAATAATTCACAAATGAAATAAAGTTTAACTTGACGACATAGTAAAATGAACAACAAGGTGAGAATAAAAATAAAGATAGAAATAAAGATAGGAATGAAAAGAATAAAAAATAAAATAAGAATATATATTTTTTCAAGTATTGGTGGAAAAAAATAGAAAAAAATGTGTAAAATATGTGAAAAAATAATAAAAGTAATGAAAGGATTTAGTACCAAGAGATCAGCAGGGTGGATTGTTATGTGGCGCCCCCTACACTAACTTATTTTGAATAGTGAACTGAGTAATTTATGAGATTTATGAGGGCTCATGTGTACGCAGTGACAGAAACATTAAAACTCACCGTTCCAACTGAAACCCTGAGGATTAAGTCTCCATCATGTATACAAGCTCCCTGTATGTCTAAGTAAGCCAGGAAGGTCTTCAGAACAGCTTTCTACAGTACCGTACCTCTGAGGAAGCAGAAAACAAGAGTAAAACCAAGACAGGGAATCCCTTTCAATGTTGGCTTCTTCCCTTGGACTGCAGGGGGAGCTAGAAATGAGATCTGAAATACAAGAGTAGAATGTTGTCCCACAAAATGCCCTCACACTTAATACTGTTTACTGAAATCTTATCACTAATAAAGCAACCAAGGATGGATTTAGATACCCATAGTAAAAAGGAAGGAATGTCTTGGGGGTTGTCATGAGAGTGAAATTCAGATCAGGCTTTATATGGCTTGTACTACTGTAGTGTGAGGCCTTCAGTATCTTAACTAAAGTAACACTCACCATTCCCAGCCCTGCGAACTGGGTCCCCCCCCTTTACCAATGGGGAACTGTAGTACAGAGGGGGCTGATTGGATCCAAGCCCCAAGTGAAGCATCTGGCAGGGCAAGGAATTGAACTGATCTTCCAAGTCTTAAACTAGTACCCTAAACACTTGACCATCTTTCATCTCTATCCAGGCACCCCATGAGATTTTGGATCAGCTATTTAATGTCTCTGGGCCTCTGTCACCTCTGCAAAATGAGGATAATACCAGATTGTTCCATTTGTAAATCAACCTTTTTTCTCCCTCAGAAAGACCCATAAACAAATCATTAGTTTACTTATATGCAGGGTTAGCCTTGGCAATAGGCATTCAGCCATATTGTAACATCCTAATTTTGCTTGACTCCTCACAGAAGCATCAACCTGAAAATGTGGGATTGACTTATCATTGGAACGATACAGTAGTACATCCCTTGTCTGTCTCTCCTGTTCAGACTGAAAGCTTTTTGGGTCAGGACCAATCTCTTAATCTGTGGCTGTGCAGTTCCCAAAACAGCAGGGCCCTGATCTTTCCTGGGCATGTAGGCACTAAGGAATAATAATGTGGGCCAGATGTGGGTCTTTACTAACTGTTTCAAAAGTTACTACCCTTCCTGAAATACATGGGAAAAAGTGGTTCTCAAACACACAAGAAACATGAATCATTGACCAGCTTGGTCCAAACCTCAACATGGTTTTGAGGTCCCTGCCAGCCAGAATTTGGAAGTAGGGGATGGATTTGTTTCTGCTGGATCAGAAAGCAAGTTCTCCCAAAGGAGAAGTAACAAAGATTTGTAGGTGCAGTGCTAGCTAGCCTGACCTCGACAAGTAACTTAACCAAGGCGTTTTATAAATCTATCTTTATTCTGTCTATGCAACTTGCTGCATATCTGCAATGAACGTGAATCCAGCATGCATTTAGACAAGGCAGATTAAGACTGCATTGTGTCTTGCGCATTCCAATCTGCACCATCTTTAATAAATACATGCAGCAGCTTATCCCTTCTGACAGAAAGGATGTTGAATTTAGTTAAGTGGTACTTGAGCTCAGATGACTGAAGAAATTACTGACAGCAGAACAAGGAGGCAAAGTGTCTTACAAAGATTTAGAAGATTAGCATTCTCTCAGGAAAGCCTTCATGGCTCAGATTCTGGTCTCAGTTACAGCTGGGAGTTCAATGAGTTTGCACAGGTAAAATCCAAGGCAGAAGTTTAGCCCATAAAGTATGGCTTTGCATGCAAAAAACTCCATGAGTTTGAAAGATAGCTTTTCCTACACCCGGGATTGTCCAGGCACAGGCCAAAAACTGTGAGATAAGAACCATCTCTTTGTTCTGGGTTTGGACAGCCCCTAGCACACTAAGGTCCAGCTTAATGACTGAGACTGAAGGGTACTACTTGTAGCAGGCTCCCCAAGCCCCTGCTGCTTTGGAGGATGGGAAGGATGCATCAGAGGGCTGCAATCAGGTGGGGAGCTGAGCTGAGAGGTGGGGAGCTGAGGGAGGCTACAAACAGGGGCTAAAGGGCAGCAGGAGACAGCTTGGCAGCTAGCTGTATGACCACAGGCAGCAAGGGCTCTAGGCAGGTAAAAGGGCAAAGACGACAAGTTAGTGGCTCAAGCTCCAGTGCCTGAGGCCAGACTGCCACAGACCACATTGGGTTGAGCACTGGGTTGCTTAGAAACCCCTGGGCAAAGTGAAGGCCACATGGCTGGAAGGGATGGACCTCAGCATACTAAAAGCGTGGCTTCTGGTACAGAGAGCTTAATCTAGCCCTGACATCCACTGTGGAAAAAAACTCCTGCTAGCTTGGGCTGCTAGAGAGGGGATCCCAGGCAACACAGATGCCCAGAGAGGCTGCAAGGAGCCAGCAGGGTAGGATTTGCTGGGACCCAGGGAGACCCAGGAGGGGTTTGGGTAGTGGCTGTGGGCAGGTAGTGTGCCTGAGAGGCAGCCTGCAGTAGGAGAGGCTAAGGCCCAAAAAGGGAGAGCCCTGCAAAGGTCCAGGACCTGATGGGCTGTGTCGAGTTAAAGCCAAGCAGTTAGAGACTGGAAATAGTGGCTGTGTAGACTCAGGAGCTCCAGGGGCTGAACTTAGTACAGAGCCAGGGGCCCAGTGCAAGAAAGAGATGGACCAGGCCTCAGTCCACAGCTGAGAGGGAGAGAGGGAATGGTCCAGCCAGGGTTAGGGACCCAGTGGAACAAGGCATTGGGCTAGGGGGCCTGGTGCATACGAGGACAGGCTAAGAGGGCCCAGGACACGAAAAGACAGAATAATATGTGCAAGGTGTGAGTGTGGCTATGGAAGTGCCTAGAGGCCAGGCAGACAAAATATGGCCTGCAGGCTGGATGCCATTCTATCCGGCCTGTGGGGCCCCACCAAAAAACAATTGCCTGCCCACAGCTGAAAGCCAGCGGAAGGCGCACTTTCAGAGGTCGCCTGTACCTCCACCTCCATGGGGCTTCTGGCACTTCAGTTAGCACCCCCATGTGGAGGCACCAAGTGTGATGGCATGCTACTGGACAGCTGGTGAGTGGGGTAGGAAGCATGGAGGCAGCCTGGCCCCCCCGGCCTGGCCTGGCCCAGCAGTGCACACTCCCAGCTACAGTGCCAGGAGCCCCATGTGCTGGTATGGAGCCAGGCTGCCTGGCACAATACTGCAGAAGTGGATGGGTGGATATTGGGTGTCTGGGGGTGGGGTCTGGGAGTGAAGTCTCCCCTCACCCCCGTCTCAAGCCCTGGCCCCCCAGAGTGTACAGTCTTTGCCTCAGGAGCAGCAGCAGGCTCTTAAGGCACTTATGGCCCTTGGCAGGTAGAGCCCCCTGGTGATGCTTGGCTGCGGCTCCAGCTGAGTTCCAGGATTTGCACATGGCAGCATGGAGCCAGCCCAGCCTGTTGGTATGGGCCTTCAAGCTGGACCAGGCTGGATCCATATCAGCACATGGGGATCCTGGCATTTCAGGTGGAAGCTGTGTGCCACTGGGCCACTGAGCTGGTCTGTGCCTCCAAGTGGGGCTTCCAGCACTGCAGCAGGGAGCTGCATGTGGTGACCCAGAGCCTGCCCAGCCCAATGGCACATGGACTGGGAGCTGCACGGAGCATGTCATTGGGCTGAGCAGTCTCTGTGCTGCCACATGCAGCTCCCGGCACTGCTGCTGGGAGCATGTGACACTGGGCCAGGCTGAGCTGGTGGCATGCTTCCACATGCAGCTCGCCACTGGAGTGTTGGAAGCCCCATGTGGAGGCACAGAGCTGGCCTGGCCCAGCCCAGCTCGATAGTGCGTGGCTCCTGCCTGAAGTGCTGAAAGCCCCACATGCTGGAATGGAGCCAGCCTGGTCTGGCTTGAAGATCTGTACCAGCAGGTCAGGCAGGCTGCATGCTGCCACATGTACCTCCTGGGACTAAGCTGAAGCTGCAGCTCTACACTGTGGAGGGGCTCTGCCTGCTGTAGGCCATGAGTGCCCCCAAGGACCCGGTCCCTGCTGCTGCTGCTGCCGCTGGCAGCAGGGGTTGTGCACCATGGTGGAGGCATTGGGCGGGGGAGGCACTTCTATATATGCAACCACTTCTATATATACCATGCAAAGACATAAATCAGGACAAATATTGTTTTAACTTAAAATTAAAATATGTTGCATTAGATGTTTTGTTTTTAGTATATGATTTTTTTTTTGGTTCCAAGATGGCAACCCCCCTCCTAAAAGGAGTACTGCTGGGGGCAAGGGGAAGGACATCTGCTGGCAAAGGCCATGGGCTAGGGGTGAGGCCTCTGGTCCCAAGATGGTGATCAAGGGGTGAGGCACCTGTCAAGGGGTAGGGCTATCCTTTTGGCCCTGAACAGCTCACCAAAAGTCATTAAGTGGCCCTCCAGCCAAAATAATTGTCCACCCTTGCCTTAAGGCAATTAAGACTGTATGGATCATGATTAAGGCCCAGAGAGCCAGCGTCCAGAGGAGTGGGGCTTCTCAAGAGAGACAAATAGGATTGAGCTTAGAATAGCACCAGTAGGATCGCTCCAGGGTTTGGGGAAGGGGCAGCCTCCCAGCATAACACAGCATTAAATTCAAGGCATGACGGGCAAGACACCAAGGAGGCGCACCCTAGAGCTAGAGTAGGGTAAGATTAAGGCAGCCACCAGGGGCATCCAGGGTGCCCTTGTGGTCAGTCTTGTCACACTACTACTAAAAATAACAAAACTACTAAAGATAATTTATTTACTTCCAGCCATTCTGATTTCCCTAAAACACCACAGAGTACTATATGTATGAGAAATATCATCAGCACTACACAAGCTGGCTGCTGGTGACATCTCTTGTCTTGTTTGCCAATGTAATGTGGTTGTCCCCTGCCACTGTGAGCCTTTACCTGTATTTTAGGCTCTATCTGGTTTGTCCTGGTTTCAGAAGGAATGTGTAACAGCAGGCTTTGAGCCTGATCCTAGGTATGTCTCCATTGATTTCAGTGGGCAGTGAATCAGGCCCTTTTTAAGCAAGGAGCCATCTGAACTTTGGAGTGCCTTTGGAGCTAGGCTCTTTACTCTTAAGCTGATCAACACAACAGTTAGAGCAGACACTTCCCTTTGATGCAGTAATTTTTCTTCTGCCAGTTTCTTAGCGGGCGAATCCTTGCTCTACGTTTGTCTACTATCTTGTACACACTGTGTTCAGGCAGTCCCTTTGACCCATGTCTGTCAGTTCCATGGACATTGTCTTCCTGTACCTGTATTGCTTTCTTAACGTTTCAGCATCCTTCTGGGGGGGAGGGAGGGTTTCCTACTTACCTGTTGCTCAATTATACCTGGTCATAAAGATCATTTCACTCTTCTGCCTTACAATTTCAATCTTCCTCTGCTTTGTTGGCAAGGGAATATGAGCCAATTTCTGAGACAGGCAGAGGCTGAGTTACTGCCTGAGAGGCCTTTAATTTCAAGGTAAACAGGACATACGCTACTAGTTTTCTTAATACTGCAGTCTTCAAATAACAGTCCTTTCAAACTTCTCTCTCCACGTGATTCTTTCCATCTATCTGGTCTGAGCAACTTTAATTCCTGTAGAAGATAGTGCTTCTTCTCTTCATGGTAGAAGGGTCAAGTAGACAAGCAGGCAGGCAGGCAGGCAGACAGTAGAAAATCAAAACCCCCAAACCAAATCCATGTTATACATTGAATCAAAACAAGATTTAGGATATTGGAAAAATACAAATTCCTCATAAGCAACGTTAGCAGACATTGGCACAGATGGTGCTGATCAATTTCTATGTTTGTTGCAAATCAAAGAGTGTTGTGGTCCCTAAATGAGATTAATCATCCTGAACAATACCACATCCTACTGGGGAAGATGCATCTCATTTCTATTCAGGCTTCTTAGCAGCCTCCATTCCATAGCAGAAATGCAACCACCAACAAGCTTTCTGGCTGCAGGTTTGCACCAAACTGTGAAGTGACATGCGCTTTGACACTGATCTTGTTGCCATTTCCAAGGTCTCTAGCACTACAGTCCTTGTAATACTGTTTCAGGAGTCTTAACATCTTCCCCTGATGAACAGGGGGGGCCTGGCCACTGGCAGGGACAGGATGCTGGCTTGGGTGGTCCAGGAGTCTCATCAACCTCCACATGCAATCAGTTCACGTGGGTTTGAAACATTAGAAAATTCCTTGGCCTTAGCAGATGGTAAACTTGATTACATTGAGAAAAAACAAGATGCTAACGAAAGAAAAGGAATGATGCTAAAGGGTATTACTTAAAGCTTTACCCCATTATTGTACAATGTAACAGTTCCACCATCTTAGGTTCATTTAATCACACTTTTCTAAGCAGATTGGAAAGTACACAGATAAAGACTCCATAGACATCTAATTTAGCCCCAGAGAATCTGTGAAGCTTGCTGATTCTAACTGCTCCATTTCAGGGAAGGCAATTAGCGATAAAAGGGAAATACAGCTACAATGCCTTTTACTGAAGGAGCATAAACTATTACAATAAAGAATATAGCACTTATAGGGCTCATTTTGCAAGGCGTTTCCTGCAAAGACGTAGCAAGAGAGAGCTACTGTCCAAAAGAGCAACCTAGATGGCTAATCTACAGTGTAGAGACAAGTGAGACACTTGCCACTCAGGCAAGAAGAGGTTTTCTGTAAGGTTGATGCAAACTAGGAATTCTCTTTTGTGGTGGGGGTGGGAATGGAGGTTTCAATGAAGAACAAAAATGAGGCCTTTCAAAATTGTTATGAAAAGAAATGAAAGAAAAACATGAAGAGGGAGAGAGACCCCAGCAGGGGCATTCACTTGAGATGTAGGAAAACCAAGTACAAGTCCTTGCATTGCCTAATTGAGAGCAGGGGCTTGAATCTCAGCCTATGCAAATGCACTCACATCTGGGCTGATAAGTGCAAGGCTCACTTGGTAAATCAAGTCATGATCCTGAGACAGTTTTGTAGAACCCAACACATTTCCTTTTTCTATTTTGTGGAAAATTAGGTTTCCTATTGTAACGAAAATAGATACTTTTCTCTATGTTTCTTTGTTCCTTG